AGTCGTTGATGATTTGTGTATATATTAGTGATCAACTTTATTTTATTCTGAATGACTTCTACTGAGTCAATAGAATAGGCTCGGATAACTAAGATTTTGCCTTTGGGAAATGATCAAACGAATAATTGAATCCCAAAGAGCTCAAAAACAGAAAGAATTTATTACAACTTTCTATTGCAATTATAAATTGTTGAATCAAATAAAAACATTTATTAGCTTTTTTGAGTTCTTTCTTCATATGTTCAATACTTGCACCTTTCTTGTTTGGCTTGAAATTATTTTAAGTTGTTTGCTTTTTATATCTTAGAAGAATATCAACTGATTTCTCTCTATCAAATATAGTAAATTGATTGTATTATATCTTTAAAGATAGTAGGATATATAATTGATTCTGACTGATTTAGATACTTTATATCTTTATTCCTTTCTTGACTATCAAGACTATCATGTATATATGTATGCACAACTTTTATCAATAACATCAATAAGCATTAGCTTTCAATGCAACTGTTTTATGGTATCGGAGCTAACACCCTGAGACTGTTTGAGGAGAAAAAAAGTGCAGGATTAAGAGAGCCTTTTTGGCGTTACCTTCGATACCATAAAACCGTTGCAGTGAAAGCTAATGCTTGTTGATCTTATTAATAAAAGTTATGCATACATATATACATGATAGTCTTGATGACCAAGAAAGGAATAAAGATATAAGAGGTATCTAAATCAGTTAGAATCAATTATATATCCTACTATCTTTAAAGATATAATACAATCAATTTACTATATTTTATAGAGAGAAATCAATTATGATATTCTTCTAAGATTACGATATTCCAAATAGCAATTGAAATTTCTTTCTTTACTTGCTTCAAGTACCTTTCGTTGATCTAGAATAAGTATTAGTAATCGATATTACCTTTTTGTAGCCTAATCCTTGCTATATATTTTCAATATTCTCTTTGTATTTGTTACATTATGTGAACGAGCAGTACATATAGAACAATGTTAAGTGTTAAAGTTCAATCTTATCAATTATGAAAGCAAAAATGTGTGATATTATGTTTTTAGTCACTATTATGCATTATGACTACAAAATTTTATCTCGGGACTTGAATAATTGATGTTATTATCAAGTTGTTGCAATTAATGATGGTTATTTCATAGCAGTGTAAGGAGGCGGCGATCAACCATCCACTCTCGAGATTCAATTGGCATAGGCCATAGACAGAGAGGATGAAAGAAAGACATAGGAATTTCCCCCTGAAGCTAAAGGGGCCTCTCTCCATCCATAAAGGAAGAAGAAGGCAAGACTAAGTCATTTATTCTATTCTAAAAATGATAAATACTTCAAAGGTACAAAAATTATGAAATAAAGTACTTTGTCATAAAAAAATTCAAAAACAAAACGTGTCAACTAAAATGATTTCATAATTATAGATCTATTAATAAAAGTTTGCAACTATAGACATTTAAAGGGGTGAACAAGGACTCCTTATATAAGGTATGTTTTGGGCATAACAACTTCTTCAAAAAGTTTAGTGAATTCAAAATTTAAAATTTCATATCAGTGAAAAGATTGATCGCACAAAAGGAAAGTGATAGAGATTAATGGCGAAGAGAAATAAACAAGGGAGACGGGGTTACCTTTTCAAACTGAAAGAGAGATGGAGGATGTCTTTTAGATCATTAATAATGAAAATCCCATGGACAAAGCTTGAATCCGATGATTTTTATGAGCTTTTCCTTTTATATTCGGAGCTACAGTAGAGGCGATGGCCTTTTGCCGCTCTATCAAAACCACATTGGTAACCATTTCATCCACCGCAGCAAATCTCTACAATGGAGGAAAAAAAGGTCAGAAGAAATAAGGAAAAGGGGAAAAGTGCAAAAGATAGTGGAGGTCCACCTCTGCGAGCTTAGAAAGATGAATGACGGTATAAAGAAGAGGAAGACGTTGATGATCCATCGCATAAGAAGGAGAAAGGTGGAGTTGGTAACAACTACCAACGGCGACACTGGAGAGGAGAATAAGTAGCTCAATTTTAAAACCCTAGCTTCTACGGTGATATTTAAGAAAGGATGGCCGTTTCACTTTTTGGACTGGGCCAGTTGTTTTTTTGTTTTCTCTTTGGGCTCATCGGGCCAATTTTGTACATAATTTCTAAGTCAATAAAAGAGCTTCAAGCTTAGATATTTAACCAAAAAATAATGGTATTTTATAGTTTTGAAAATGAAGAAAAGACGATGTGGAGGTTATGAGAGTGGCACCATTGTTGTTAATCCATCAATTTGGACAAGAACCGACGGGTCTTGTTAAGGGTTGATAGGGTTGTTACATTGTAATTGGACAAGAGGATGGATGTGAGAAATGAGAGTATTTTAGCTGATTTAGTTTGTGTAAGTGGGCCAGATCATTAGACTTTTCGAAGTTGGGAATGGAATGAGCTTTAATTTTGCTGAAAAAATGTAATATTTACAATTTACTTGGGGAAAAAAAAAGACCAAAGCCCATACATTAATGACCATTCTCTCTTTTTACTTTTTAGTCCTATAATTTTGAATCTTTTCTCTAAGTTTTTAACAAAACCTCTGTTCTTTTCATTACAACCTAGAAATTTTAGCTTATCATTAACCCTTTTTTCACTTCACTTTAATTATCGATGCCATCTACAACCGTCGTCACACCATCGGCTACAACTTCCGCAACTCCACCATAAACCAACGTAAGCTTGATAAAATTTCATCTCATCAAGATTTTTTATCCCGTATCAAAAAAAGAATGAGAAATGACCCAACTCGGATTCAATTCTTCGTTCAATTATTTTTCAGAGGCAAAACCCTAGTTATCCGAGCCCATTATATCGACTCGATAGAATTTATTCATAGTAAAATCATATTGATCAACGGTATACCCGCATATCATCAACAACTAGTGTATATGGGAAGACCACTCCCGAGTTAGTTAGAACAAACATTGGTTTTCTATAAAATGTTATGTCTAGAGTATAGTTTCGAAGCGTGACAACACAACATACAATTCATAGTGAAATGAGATTCAACTAAGGGATCTAAACAACATTTGTAGTGGATCCAAAGTCTTTACAAGTACATGGATCCATATGTGTCCAATTTACCAAGAGCTGCTTATCTCAAGCTATGGCAATCTTGATTTGGGAATCATTCAACAATGTAATTACTCGAGTTATCGACAAGCTATCATGACTTGAGGTACGGAGTATTTTAAAGGTCACTTTCAAAGATTGGCATGAACAAAATATCATATTGATTTCTAACAATATACAAATATATATATATATATATATATATAAAACTTGTTTGAACTATCTTACTATGAAAAGAAAAAAGAACTTCTGAGGCGTTGCCTGTGACTCAACATGGGTGAAGGGGGCAGAATTGTGCACTTTCGAAGCCTGCCAGTTTTACATACAGTATATTACCCGCAAGTTCATCTTCTTTGATAGGATATTAGATTAGTTAGCAATTCAAGTTCCAAAGATAGATGTGTTTCTCGTTGAACCCCTTTTCTTACGGTCTAAGTGTACTAAAAGAAGAACATTTTTTGTTGATTATCGAAGGACCAAAACAACTAGGTGTATAATTTTTTAGACTATACTTAAAATCATTTTCTAATTTTCTATAAAACGACACATATTATAATCACCATCCACTAAGACTATTTTCCAATTTATTTTTTATTAAGACAATTTTATTTTTCTTATAAGAACCACAAGGTTCAAATACAATCTATCCGACAATTTTTACATATTATTATAACTCTATCATTTTAATTCTTTTTTAAAAAGACCAGCATGTATGATACATCGTATTGTTTATAACATTACTATGTAATTCATTGTTTTTTTTAATCATTGTATACAAAATATGAATTGTATATATTTAAAATATACAAGTACATAATTGTTGCAGTGTATTTTTAAAAAATGAATATTTAATTCTCCCGGAGTTATCTTTTTACTATTTGTGCAATACAATACATAATATAATAAATAAAATAATAATACATAAACGTAAAATAAAATATAAAATTCTTAAATAAAACTTAATCAAACTTATGAGATATGTTAATTAAATAATTAGAGATATATTGGTAAATATGTATATATAGAAGAGATAGTTTAGTCTTGAAATAAATAATTCTTTGCTTCTGCTTTTTTTAATAAGCAAAATTTTTTAGCTTCTTCCCAACAAAGAAAAAACAATTTTACTGATTTGCCAAATACCTAATTTTTCAAAAAAACAATTTTTTTTCCATCAAAATAAGTGCTTCTGGACTCCCAACAACAATGCCAAACATGCTCTTAGATTCATATGTTTGCTACCAGATACACTGAAATAGGAAGAGAGACGAACGGAAACAGAAGGTAGATGAGTGAGATTTGTCTATGTATCTCAGATACATGCGAATCAGACTAGATACATGTATCTTTATGTATTTGTTGTGATTCACATGTATCTAGGATACCTGATACATAGGAGAGTGATAAGCAAAATGGGAGGTAGACTAGAGAGATTTGTCTATATATCCCAAATACATGCAAATACACTTAGATACCGTGTATCTAAAACAAATTACACCCTAATTTTGACCTCATGTATATGAGATACATATATCTAAACGTATCTAAATGTACCAAAATCTAGTAATTAGATTCATAATATTATAAACTTGCGTGTGTCTAAGTAATTAGCTCTTAAATTACTGAAAAATCTGTAAGTTATTCTATTAAATTAGTCTTGAGATTATTTAATTCCTCATTTAAATTAAAATAATGAGAAATAATAGGTGACTTGATACAACAAGTAGTATCTTACAAGGGAGAGCAGAAATTGATTCTCATATCGATCCTTTCGATCAAGCTTGTTACATCAAACTTGTCTAGTGCGATTTATTGAAAAATTCAAAGTTGCTTAGTAATATATTGGAGGCACATACAGGATGGGTGAGTTGTGACCAGACTGGCAAGTGTTTGCCGTATTTTTACCCAATTGCCCCAAGACAAGTAATATGCGGTCGATATCTTTCAATATAAACTGAAGCAAAATGAGTAGAAAAGGTAAAGTAAACAACTCCTAAAAATATTCAATCAACATCATACAGCCAGCAGTAGAGTGTTTTGTGGTCTGCACATAGAGAGACACCACTTAGGGATCCTTTCAATTGAGAAAAAAATCTGCATATTTCTATGTAAGTATCTTCTTGATTCTCTTTGTTATGGCTGGGTTTTGGCCATTTATGAAATAGATCTCTGTTGTTAGAGTATTTGGGGTTTTGAGATTTATGTCTTTTTTATATCTGGTGGTGTGAATGTGCACTGTGGAACAAAAAAAAATTGAATCTTTACATGTAAATTGTATCCAAGGTAGTGGTAAGGTGTGCACCCTCCCAAAACCCCACTTGTGGGATTTCAATGGGTATGTTGTTGGTGTTGTAGATTTGTAAATTGAATTGTTGAAGTTCCTTATGTATCTACAAGGGTTTTGATGTAATTCATGATGTTTACTTGAAGAATTAGAGGCTTATAAATGTCATGACTGATCCAAGTATTTGATTTTAAGCAAGTTGCTTTTGTGTATTTTATGAATTGGGGTTCTAACATTATCAGATATATGGTGTGATTTAACTAATCAATTATGTTTTCTTTCTTGTTATCCTTTTTTTTTTGGGCCAAAGGAACATAAAAATGACAGTTTGAAGGTGACTGGAGAATGTATGAATTTTCTCTGCCTGTACAAAGTAATTAGCAGTACTCTGCAAGTATATGTAGCTTCCTGATACATTCATCTCATGTTTGTAAAGGAGATCATTTTCAAGTATTTTTTTTCTCCCAATGTGCTAAGACTGATATACTGAAAAATTGATGCATTCTTCTATAAACTGAATGTTATGAAAATCAATTTCTTGTGTGATTGAGGGAATTTTTTAAAATATTCTAGGCTGGTTTGATACTTTCTGCAATCTTTCTTTCTGTCTTGTTTATCTACAATTTATGGTTCCTTTGAAGCTCTTACCGTTGTTTCATTTGAACGAGAGCAACTTGATAAATAAGACCAGTTCACCTAAGCCATTTAAAAGATATTACTAGTAGTTAAGAACAGAAATGAAACAAGCAGAGTTGCACCATATTTTGCCGTTGTTTGTCTATTCCACGGTAACTAATAACTTCCTCATTTCCCCTTTAAATTTTTTTAATTTTCCTATCGTATGCTAGTAAAACTTCAATCTAGTCGGAGCATTTTACTTTTACTTCGGGGACCACATATTTTGACATAATAAATCTCCACTCTTACTCTTGCTGCTTTCCTTGTCTAAATTTGACCTTTAAGTTTAGGAGGTAGATACTTTGGGAATAGGTCAAATGCTAAACAATAATATTTGGACTTATCGCTTCTTTTTTCTTGATTTTTACAATTTCATTTGATATCATATATAAGTTGTTTGATGTTTGCTTGATCAAATACGCTTGTCTCATATAAAAAAGGAAATATGCATTGCACAGTTTACCAAAATTTTCCTGGATAATAGTTGCAATGAAGTAAGCCTAACTATTTTTGGTTGAGTTAGTAGTTCTCCAAGAGCACCCTCAAGTAAATATAACATGAAATCTTGTCTGGACTCAATCGTGGAGCTACTTAATTAGTTTAAGTGCCCAAAGAGATGGAATAACTCACGAAGCGCCAAGATGTATTAACGAGTAAATTTTTTTATTTTTTTTTATAAGGTAAAGGTTTATTGACCAAGTACCAAGAAGGTACCAAAACCAAAAGTTACAAAAGACTGCTGGGAATATTAACGAGTACATTTTTAAAGATAAAATCATCAAATAGCACCTTGTGGGTGGCTATATGATCTGTCTTCTATTTTCTTTATTGGAACTGTTCTCATCTCAATAGGTGCTCTTGAACTTCTTATCGAATATTTCATGTAGAACCATATCTTAGCAGCCTTCTAACTACTTTCTGTTTCCTTTGCTATATCTAGCAATTAGCTGCTGTCCACGATGGTTGCACAAGGCTTCACTGTGGATTTAGATAAGCCACTTGTATACCAGGTAAAACTCTACAATCTACATCTTATATTTATTTTCTTCCGTCCTATTTTATTTGATACGTAACTTGGGAAGTCAATGGTTTTTTAACTACATTTCTTCTCAAATTTATTAAATAATTTTTAAAAATATTTTTAGTCCACCTAATAGTTGGGAGTTGGGACTATATTTAGCCACATTAATATGTTTACTCTTGGTCTTATGCTTTCTAGAAGTCTCTTAATCCAATTTCAAATATATATGCCACTACAAAATATAGAAACTTCTAGTAAGGATTCATATACCATACTCCATGTCCCCAACTAGCTTAGGATTAAGGTGTAGTAGTAGTAGTTGTTGTGTAGTATTCTATTTGCTCCAATTACATGACACTCTTACCATTTGGGGCATTTCAAAATATTTGATGGAGTTCTACTGCTAAATATTATTCTCTATATTATTCTTAAAGTTGCAAGAATTTCAAACTCATTAACTATTTAGCTTTTCAACTCTCATATGATGCTTTCTCTATGAAACTCACTTTTTGGTCATTACTTCACTATTTTCCTCCACTCTCATTAATATAGTACACGGGCGAAATTGACATCCTAAACTCTGTATACAGTTAAGGAAGTGCATTCACTATAAAATGTGATGGAGGGTATTCTTATATGTAGTTTCTAAGAGGTTAATAAAATTAATGAAGCAGACCCTTCGGGGTGGCCCGAACTTCCATGTTGGAGGTCTCAAGTTCGAAACCCCTTGCCAGCGAAAGCAAGGGATTTGCCTTCTGGGTCAAGCTCGTCGCACCAGGCTTGCCTAGTGCGGGTTACCTCTCCTATATGGTTTGCGAGCTATTGCATAGAAGCGGGGGTTTTACCCTGTGCGCACCCAAAGGCGCACACCCAAAGGGTAGCAGCTGCGGATTTCCCTTGTCATAAAAAAAAATAAAAAAATGAAGCAGTGTCAAAATGTCTGCCGAAAAGTAGACCATTTGACCGTCATACTCCAAACTTTGTTTTTCTTTTTGGGATGGATGATGAATCTTTTATTTAGATCTGCACATGTGTCTGTAAGGTTTACCTTCTCTCCCTTGATCTTCTTTGCTGATAATCATCAGGGTTTTTCATTATGTAATTAAGATTATTCCAGTACGTACTAGCAGATACATTTGCCTTATCATTTTGTTTTGTTCCATAATGTATTTCTTTGTTCTACTTGTCAAAGTACACAGAAAATTAAAAAAAAACAATGGCAGAAAAGAATAATATGTGGTGATGTATTTCCTTCTCATCATCTTTCAGATGGGAAATTATATATGGTTTTACTGTTGCAAGCACTTTTTCTTCTTCCTCTTCTTTTTTTGTTCGATAAAGTTTTTGCAAAGTCTTCTTTGTCATGTCTAACAGGTTCCTTGGCCCAAATCTCTCTATTCTGACTGAAATTAGTAAATAAACCGTCTTATTACTACTTGTATTTTTTGACTCCTCAAATGTGCTCTCAGGTTGGCCACCTTGGAGAAGCTTATCAAGAGTGGGTTCACCAGCCCATTGTCAGCAAGGAAGGTCCTCGATTTTTTGAAAGTGATTTTTGGGAGGTATAGTTACTGTTAGAATTATTCATTTTTCTTTTAGCTTGAATTTTCATTTTCCATACGTGTCTATGTAAGGCAAGATTGATATAAAACTTGCTAGAGTGTGTACCATACAAATACCCCACCCCACGTGAAATAATTCATTTTCACATCATCTCACTATGTACATAAGGTATTGATACCTTTAATTTGTGAAACAGTTTCTGACTCGCACAGTTTGGTGGGCAATTCCTACCATATGGCTTCCAGTTGTGTGCTATAGCATCTCTGTGTCTATCCATATGGGTCGTACTGTTCCAGAGGTGGCACTGATGGTTGGTTTTGGCATTTTCATCTGGACACTGATGGAATACACTCTTCATCGTTTTCTTTTCCACATCAATACAAGGAGCTATTGGTTAGTGCTCTCTCTGTTCTTTTTTAGTAACCTGAGAAGGGAATGTTCTTTTAGCCCTCTGCTTCAGGTTCTTTATTCCTGTGTGCTTAAACTCATCTTTTGTTACAGGGGAAACACTATTCATTATCTTCTTCATGGCTGTCATCATAAGCATCCCATGGATGGTCTACGGCTGGTTTTTCCTCCTGCTGCAACGGCTATTCTCCTTGTACCAGTATGTTGGATTTAATATCTTGGCATCGTTTTATATTTTAACCTGAGAACCTTTTTTTTTTGTAATTTCACACAAATCTAGAAGATCCCAGTTTCAAATGGTTAAAACCGCTTTTCGTGAAATAAAAGATAATTACTCTCTCCATTCCTGGATTGTTGCTACATATGGTTTTCAGAGGTCAAGCAACGTATTGGCAAGGCCATTTTATCTGCCTAATAATTGAGGAAAAACACTAAAAAGAATTAAGCACTTGGAGGGTATACATCAGATATTACTTGAAAATCCACTTGACAAATTCTAGTTTAATTTTGGAAAAGTCAACATGGCCATAGCAACTAAAGGAATATAATACTAGCCTACATCAACAGCTAGTCAAAGTTGGTAGTTCATATACAAAATGTTGCAAGTTGAAAATCATAGGCTCTTATTATTTTCTTTCCCCAAATGACATTGATCACGACTATACTTGTACTGAATTTTGGGAGTGTGCTAAAGAACAATGATTATTTGCTTTTCCCACAACTTTTGATACTGTACTTTGTAATTGCAGTTCTGGAACTTGATCAAACTCCTGGCAACTCCCACTACTGCTCCTGCTTTGTTTGGAGGCGGTTTATTGGGCTATGTTATGTATGATGTAACCCACTACTACTTGCATCACGGGCAACCAACAGTTGAAGTGCCTAAAAATCTTAAGGTAAGAGGATATGTTTGTTAACACCTCCCTAACGGCTTCATTGTGGGTTTTCAGTTAGTTTTTTGTGATGTCTCCTGACAGGTGTAATAATGTGTCAGTTTGAGAAGATGCTTTTTAGACCCTGCTGGTTTCTTTGTTTAACCTTTTCAACTACTAACAGGAGATTTGTTATACCATCGCAAATTATGTTTTCACTTGTGGTACTTGAGAGTTGAGACTGTTGTTTCAGGTTATAGTTTGTGGTTCAATCCTGTCTTTAGGGTAATAAAGAAGCGTCTGCCTGGGATTTATTGTGAACTGGGGTTGTGTTGAAGTGATATTTTCATCTCAATTTATGAATCACGATAAGATGCAGTATTCTTAACCTGTTATATGATCCTAACTACTGATCTTTTGCCCTTCTTTCACAGAAATATCACTTGAATCATCATTTCCGTATCCAGAACAAAGGTTTTGGTATCACCTCCTCCTTCTGGGACAAAGTGTTTGGAACGCTACCACATTCAAAATCAGCCAAGAACAGATGATTCCCTTCGGATAGGAGAATCACAGCACTAATCACTTTTTATTAGAAGGGTTAGAATTATTATTTTTTCTTTAAAATCCAGTTCCAGTTTTTTCATTTTGCCACTATGTTCATGCTACAGTTTAATTGGAACTTGGCATTCATCCTTGTGACAACTTGTGTAAGGGTTACGTAACCGTGCTGCGAAACATTGTGCTCATCAGTCCATCTAGGTTGTTGATATTTTCATCTCAATTTATGAATCACGATAAGATGCAGTATTCTTAACCTGTTATATGATCCTAACTACTGATCTTTTGCCCTTCTTTCACAGAAATATCACTTGAATCATCATTTCCGTATCCAGAACAAAGGTTTTGGTATCACCTCCTCCTTCTGGGACAAAGTGTTTGGAACGCTACCACATTCAAAATCAGCCAAGAACAGATGATTCCCTTCGGATAGGAGAATCACAGCACTAATCACTTTTTATTAGAAGGGTTAGAATTATTATTTTTTCTTTAAAATCCAGTTCCAGTTTTTTCATTTTGCCACTATGTTCATGCTACAGTTTAATTGGAACTTGGCATTCATCCTTGTGACAACTTGTGTAAGGGTTACGTAACCGTGCTGCGAAACATTGTGCTCATCAGTCCATCTAGGTTGTATTTATGTTTATCATTGGGCTGTATGTTGGCCATTTATTTGTACCTTGTACCAGTTTGGCAATTAGAAAAATTCTGTTGATGCATGGCAACAAATTCTCTTTTTTTTTCTCTCTGTGTAGTAACTTGATTAACTGGATTGTTAGAAAGGAAACAGAACTATTTTGTCTTCAAAAATAAAAAAAAGTATACTTGGAGGAGTGTGACAATTTACAAGTGGGAGTGCATCAATTCTAATTGTTTACGCACACATCACAAATGTAATGGAATTATTTGAGTGTGGGAATATCTTTTTTCATATAAAGCATATGTATCATGAGGCATAATGTTGCTTCTAACCTAATCTTCTCTTTCCTCCCCCACATGAGAAAGAATACAAACACACGCTGTGAAAACAAAAGATATTTAATCCTCCCTCGTTTCAATTTGTCTGACCTACTTTCATTTTCAGTCCGTTTTAAAAAGAACGACTCTTTCCTTTTTTAATTTCAACTTTCCATATGACATGTTTGATACTACAAAATTCAAAAGTGTTCTTTATTTTCTTATAAATTCTGTGTCAATTCAAAATAGGTCAATCAAATTGAAACAGAGGTGGAGAGTGTTGCCTGTAGGTACATTGAAAAGAAAAAAAAGAGAAAGTTTTGGCACCATAGTAGGACCTCTTAATTATAGTGTTTCTACTTTATGCTTCACAGCACCTTCCCCCATTGATTGAGAAGTTAAGCATGCCTAATTGAAATATCTCTTTAAATTCTCCTCTCTCCTTCTCTGTTTCTTCCAAAATAATTTTTTTATTTTCGAATAGATACGCGTGACCAGACATAAATCTTCATTTCCATCTATATTATTGTCCAAGATCATGCCATGTTTCAACAGTCCAACACTATAATGTCTTGACCCTTGTTATATTCTTGCTTCTTGTCTCAGATACTAAATATTTAGAGGGAATTTTTATTGAGTCTGAATTTGTATTATCTTCAAACATGTCTTTTCCATGGAAGAAGTTGAAGAAGACAAGTATATCTCAATTGGTGAAGGACCATGTTCATTCTCAATCTCCTTTCATGGTGGAAACTGGTTTCCCCTCTTCCCTTGTGGATCTTTTTGTCAAGAATCGTCGAAAGTTCATGAAATCTTCCAAGAAAAAGAGGGCTCCACCAGTGGTGGCTGAGCCCCCTTTAAGCTCTCTTTCGACTTCACCTTCCCCGGTATGTTGCATAATTGAGAGGTCTGAGTTAAAGGGGTGTCAGGAAAAAGATGAAAGATTTGATCTTGATGAAGCTGTTGATAAAAATATGGTGTTTATAGCGCTTCTGAAGGTCTTTCTGGTGGTGGTTTTGGTTTTAGGAACAAAGAAGCTTGTAATGGGAATGACAATGTCAGCTTTCTTGTTGTACTTCTTTGAGTATTCGGGTGAACGCGTATATAGATGGATCATGCCTGTTGCAGGAGCACAAAGGAGGAGTCTTTCGATGGTACAGCAGGTTTGGAGATCCTCTGGAGTCAAAATGGTTGAGTTAGAAGAAAAAGATCGCGTTTTTAAAGCGCAATTACAGCAAGAAGAGTTAAGTTCCTCTGAGTCCAGTAGGTATGATAATCTGATACGTGAAGGAATAGACTCAACAGAAGAAGAATTGAGAAGTGACTTGTTGGAATCCAAGAGAAAGAAATCTCAAAAATCAAAGATCAAGAGATTTATTGCAAAGAAGTTCAGAAGGAAGACGATAGCAATAAGCGAAAGTGATGTTAAAACTCAGGAAAAGGATAAACTTGATTGTCAAAAGAGTCCTGAGAAAGTGCTTGATGCAACAACTGTGAAGGTGTCTAGTTTAGCCAGAAAAGAGCAGAGTTCAGCAAGTATTGACCTACTTTTGGTTGTTCTTGTTGGCCTTATCGGAGGCCGGATTTTCGCGCTTGTGTTTACAGTAACATGGTGCATGATGTCAAAACAAGTTTTGCTCAAAACTTTAGTCAGAATTTTTCAACTTATTTGTAGAAAGCTGTGAATTGCAGATCATTTAGATAGTTTAGTTTGCTTCTACTGAGAAGTGCTGCTTAAACCTTAGCTGGAGATTTTTGTATTATGTCTTGTAAAGTTTCTGATACAAGAGATTATATTGCATTTAACAACTCCAAATTTTATATTTCCATCACTCTTGACATTCATTTTTTGTTGTTGTTAAATTGCATAAGCATGTGTTAAAATAAAAATAATTTAGGTATTTTAGGAAAAAGAAAAGTTGGTTTTAATCCAGAGGAGGAAAAATTGAGTATTACGATGAATATACATTGCTTAAGAACCATCGTCAATAAGCTGAAAGTTCATCGAGCCAAACCAGATTTTATACTTATATGTTTTCTTTAATTACATAAAGGGAGGAAGAGGGAAAGGGTCATGGCGAAAATGAACGAAAAGCAAGATAAGCGTGCTATTTTCAAATCGATCCATAAATAGCCTAATTTGTTCTGATAGATCGAAAGGAAGGGAATATTATGGTACTGATGGAGTTTAAACCTTCTACAGCCTAGAATTTCATAAATGCTTGGAAAGTTGGTGCATTAACTTTTTTTTAAGATTTTTATTTGATGACTAATATTTATATGGTTTCAAGTAATTCAAAACTTTATGTAGGGCTCAAATTTAAAATATTTGATTAATAATTAAGAAATCTTAATCATCTCGGTCAGGATTTAAATTAATGGGATCAGTAGCATTAAATTTATTGCCTTATGTGTTCGGATTTAATATTTTATCTTTTGATATTTTAAGAAGATTTTATTTTTATAATCCGTATAAAAATCATGTGAATTAAATGAATCTTTAGGCAAAAGGCTACATCCATCCCCCATTACGCCCTATTTGATACACCAGTTCCTACAAGCGTAAATATTTATTTATAATGAATATTTACACTTATAGCTAATCATTTTAACCTTGGTTAACTAAAAAATAAGAAAGAAAATATGTCTTAACCCTCCATTTCAAAAAGAGTGGTCTAGTTTGATTTGGCACGAAGTTTTAGAAAATAAAGAAGACTTTTGAATTTTGTGGTCCTAAATTAAAGTTATGTAAAATGTACTAAATTGCCCTTTAATCTTGTGGTCTTAAACATGCAACGTGGAAAACTGAAATTAAAATGTTACCAAAAAAGGAAAGAGATCATTCTTTTTTAAACAAACTAAAAAGGAAAGAAAACCATTATTTTTGAAACAGAGGGAGTATATATATATAAGAGAACCATAGGTCTGTCTATGTGGCACCTCCACAAATCAAGATTCCCTTTTAATTTATTTATTTCCAAAACTAGCCCTCCTCTTTCATGAAAAGTTGCAACTTTTATGAAAAATTGTGACTTTAATGAAGAATTGTGACTTTTATGACAAGTTGTGACTTTAAATGAAGAGTTGCGACTTTTATGAAAAGTTGTGACTTTTATGAAAGGTTGAGACCTTTTCGAAGGGTTTCAACTTTTCCAAATAGTTGTGATCTTTCCAATAAGGCACAATAAACATTTGTTCATACTACCATTTGTTGTCTATTAATAGAGGGTTACGAAAATTCTGAACTTCTTCTTCTTCTTCCGCACAATTAAATATTTGTGTACTTTGCTCATATTGAGTGGCTCACTGACACCATTGTTTTTGTATCAATACACTGGTGAATAGAATCACTCTATCATGATGATCTATTCCTTTAAATCTCGGGTACTAGAGGACAATAATTTCCTTAAGGGGACACTATGTATTCAGTGACTTGATTTTTTCCTTTTCTTTTTTATTTTATTGTTACAGATCCTGACATGTATTTTACAGTCACTAATTTATACTTATGTTATTGAGGATAAATGATAAGATGTTATCATTTGCATACATTATTTATGTTCCTTACTACGTAATCTTGTATGTAAGATAATATAGTGTTTTAGTTTTAATAATCAATAGGTTTTAAATATTATTTTATAAATTTCGTGATATTAAATTCTCGCGTTAGGCGCGAATAATTTTAGTTAGTTATAATTAAGCAATAAACTTGTATATTGAAAGATATAGTGTAAATCATCATTATTCTTTCGTAAAAAAACTATTTTTTTCCCAACGCGGCAAAACCATCTTTCCCCTCCAAGTGTTTGTCTAGGGAATAGATTTATTTCTAGAGAAAATAACATATTTAATCCTTGAATTATTGCTATATCTCAACTTTGGCCCATATGTTATTGATCTAAGCACATTTAATTTTTAATCCGTAATTATATAAATAATAACTATTTAATGATTTTTAGACAATTAGATTTGTATAAAACCCTCTTTAAAGAGCTTTGAAGAAGAAAACATTAATGGATGAAATTTATTGTTATCGTGGTATTAAGCAATAACCTACTCAATATTTGAGGAGCATTATCATTAAATTCACATACAAAATTAGTCTTGATCAAAATGTAAAGATATAGGAGAAAGATTGTTTGAGCTAATATTTGCTTCATTGGTTCTTCAAATTACTCTAACCATCATTATCTCAAAAATGGGGGGGGGGGAGGGGAAATTAACCTAACAATGTCAACTTCAAGTTAGATTAAAGGACTAAAATTTCCTATTTTATTTAATTAAAGATTAAATGTGTTTAGAATAATGATATAAGAATTAAAATTGGATAACAATAACATAAATCAATGAAATTTCGCAAATCAAGTATAGAAAGGTTATATAAAAATGTATGTACGTACATCTTACCATTACCTCGTGAAGGTAGAGAGAGTTTGTCTAGGACTAAAAGTGCTTTCTTCTTCTTCTTCTTCTTCTTCTTCTTCTCTTTTGTATTTACATATACCAATGAAATTTCACAAGTCGGATATGGAGAGGATACAATGTAGCAGACCTTACCATTATCTCGTGAAAATAGATATGTTGTTTCCAAATGACCCTCACTCGAGTTCAACAAATCCAAATACAATGAACTAAAATTGATATATAGCGATAATATTATACCAATTTTTCTAATTACTTGTCCATTTTGACAAATCATGAAAAAATAATTTTTTATTTATCTATTATACCCTCAATTAATTACTTTGAAAACTGTAGAACTTCTTGACAATATTAAGTTTTTAATTCAACCACTTCATAATTAATAGACTAAAATGGTAAATTTATAATGTCAAATTATTATTCGGGCGGGGATCTTGAAGGTTTCCTTGCCGCGTGCGACGCGGGAAGGGGTTCCCTGTCTGTCCCCCACGAGCAGGAACATCAAAAATAATGGAAAGGTGAATACATGTACATGATGTAACGACATATTTCAAAATACGTGATCCGATTCTATAGGCTGTCTGCAGAAAGGAAAGAGTTTACCGACCGCATAACAATTCATTCTTGTGTGTAGCACTGTGGGCCCATGTCGTCCGAACGAATTCAGAGGTTGTTTCTCTTAAGACGAAAACGTACGAGGTAATGCTTATTCTTCTCGATACTCTTGAATAAGGCAAGACTTTTCCTTATTTCCTGTTAAAAGCAAATAATTATTTTCTTAATAGGTCTGTAAATTTAAAAGTGGAGAAGTAATTAGTAAAAGAGGAATACTATTTTTTGTTCTTCTTTTTCTCTATTGTATTTACACCATAGTCTATGAGTCCATCACATAAACCCAAAACCCCTAACTCCCATTATTATAATCTTTTCAAATTCCCAAAACCCCTCAACCTCCTTCTTCCTTTTTCTTTCCCCACAACAATCTTTCCTTTATTTGTACCCCTTTACCCCCACCCCCCACCCCTTCTTCAAAATTCACAATTTATGCATGTCACTAATCACATTTGTGTATCTACCTGGCCAGTATTAGGTACTATCTTCTTCACCCTTTCTTGATTTTTTGTTATCATTGCCAGTAATAGCTACTATCTTTCTTGGTTTCTTGTTGATGGGTGTTTGATTCTCACTTTGTAACCCTTCCTCTACCCCCAATTAAGTTAAAGGTACAATCTTTTTTCAGCCATTCTTGATTCTCTGTTACTATTTTGCCTATCTTGTAAAGTAAGTCTTGGGGCCCCTTTTTCCTTTTGAGGGTATCTTTCAAAGATAACCACTCAACCCACAAGCATAACTTTTTGTTTGTTGGTTCGTTTTGCCGATTCTTGAATTCTTGTCATTTGAGTGAGGACCCAGAAACTGATTTTGTTTTGTAGTGGTGAAATAATGATTGGTTAATGTGTTGTTATAGATGTAAACGGCACTTTAGAAGCAGAGTTTTCGTTAATCATATAAGATTCCTGCTATAAATGCAGTGTGTTTTGATACTGTGTGTATATGTATTCTATGGTTATTGCTTGGTTGTAGAAAGGGTATATGTATTCCATGGTTTTTTTGTTTCTGATAATGTTGTGTGTGGTGGAATTAAAAAAAGAATCTATTTTTGGACTCTGAACATGCTGTTGTCGAAAAGTTTAAACATGTTATGATTTCCCTAGAATCTAATTAGCTGTTGAATCAAGTATTAACATGTGGATGGAGATTGGTTACTTCTCCTGTTTTTGGCTTATTGTCAATGGAATGAGTATTCAAATCGAATTAGGGAATTGTTGGTATTTACTATTTTACTGTGTTCTTGGCGTTAATATGCTTTATATATGATGCACAATGGAAATTAGTTCTAAAACACTTTTTCAGTGTAGGAGTTGAATTGTTATAAGTATTCAATTCTCCTGGAAAAGCTATGGAAAATGGAAAAGGCCCAGCAAGTGGTCCAAAGAAATTACCTTTCACGCCTAAGGCTATCATACACCAGAGATTTGGTACTAAAGCATGCTATAAGGTTGAGGAAGTTCAAGAGGCCGTACAAAATGGATGTCCTGGTTTAGTGATCCCTCAGAGAGGTCCTTGCCTCTTTCGCTGTTCTCTGCAACTTCCAGAATTTTCAGTAGTCTCTGAAGCCTTCAGAAGAAAGAAGGATGCTGAGCAATCTGCTGCTGAGAAGGCTATACAACAGGTTTTGTCTTACTCTCTGCTCTTGAGCTAT